GTATACGGGTGGTATACGGGTGGTATACGGGTGGTATACGGGTGGTAGACGGTTGGTATACGGATGGTATTGTGCTTGTATGTCCAAATACATATCCTTTAAAAATACATAATTTATGTCTATTTGTGTTTTGATTGCTTTGAAAGGAATATGTTTTGTTCAAACATGCAATAACCATTTAGGCTCAGAGAACTTGCACTTTTGGCAATCACTTTTGGTACTCAAAAAGAGACGCAATGGCAAAAAAAGGCATGGCCATGAAGGTCACAAAGACCATTCAGAAAAAGCCAGCAGCAAAGACTTATGGAAATCAGGGCAAGGCTAGCACGTCCAAAGCTAGCAAGAGCAAGAGTCCATCATCCATGAAGGTGATCAAGAAGCCAGCATTTTCCTGGGCAGACTATTCAACACGTGATGACCAAGGCAGAGACATCAAAGAGATTGTGGCCTTGACTTGGGAAGAATATGATGACATGAAGCAACACAACAAAAGCTATCATGAACCGCCCTCCGCGACCTGGAAACAATTCAAGAAGCAGTCTCTCTTCCAGAATGGATGGCGCATGGTGAACAAGAAGTGGGTGTGGAGCTACGATTGGATCCCTCAAGAGGTGCTGGATGAGCCTGGGCTGAGACTCTAGGATCTTAGATTTCAAGCAGCTGCTGCCGCCATGTGTGCTCGAAAAAATATTGAGAGCTGTTCTGCTATATACTGCTTTGCAGCGGTCCCCACCGCTATTTTACATGAGGTGTACTTAGACATGCATTGCCAAAGCAATCTTTGAATATTGTATGCAATGATGTTGTACTTCTTGGATTTTGGAAGACTTTGAAGCCTTGTCAGCTTTGTTACTTTTCATGTTTGCCGGCTCAAACTCTATCACACGCAGAGCAAAAGTGCTATAAGACAATTAGTGCATGTGTACATAAATATTTTTCTTGCTTCCTTTGTAGGCATATATATGTCCTATACTGAAGAGTCTGAAGAGCCGCCATGGAAAGTACTTCGCAAACATCAACGAAGGGAGACCAACAAGAATATCCACAAGGATGAGAAGGCAACCAGCTCTGATGGACTTCTTGACTACTACTCTGCATGGGCACTTGCAGATGAAGAGGAAGAGGCGTTCTACACCTGCTGGGATGAAGCTGAGAAAATGAAATCCCATGAAGACTATGGAGGTGAGGTAGTTGAGTCAGAAAATGATGCACTTGACGACCAAACAATCAGCAAGAAGTTGGCTGAATCTCAGGCAGCTTGGGAGGCTCAAGAGACGCAAGAGCTGACTCCAGAACAATTGTCGCAAACCCTGCTGGACATTGCAGAGCCTTTGGAGGCAGCACCAAAAGACAAGAGTGCTGGAGAAGCGCAGCAAACACTAGACCCCCTTCAGCAAACACATGGCAACACCTCAGCAGAAGGACGCACTCAAGACAGTGACGCAGGCAAGACTTTTTCTACAGCTCCATGGCGGCAAGGCTCCAGTGAAGCTGCATTACCACAAAGCTCCGGAAACTCAGACCAACCAGCACAAGAATGGCAGAGTTCATGGCAGGGTGGAAGCTGGTCGGAGGTTGCAGAGACACAGCATGCATGGCAAGATGGCAGCTCATGGTTGCAAAGTGACGAACACCAAGCATGGCAAGCACAGCAAGATGGCTGGTCGGAACACCATGGTTTGCAAGATGACAGCTCATGGTGGCAGAGTGACGACACAGGCCAAACAGAGGATGATGGCAACTTGAATGGCTATGCTGAAGAGATTGGTGAGAGGCAGCGATCAAAGAGACAACAGTGGTCAGAACAACACAATGGCCACAAACGAAAGAGGGCAGGAAAGAACCTACCTTTTTGGAGGAACTGGTTCGCAGCAACTTTTCTGAAATAGACCTCCATTGCAGGATGGAAAAAAAAGGCGCGTGGTTTCGGGGGGGGTTGGTTTCAGCGGTATTATATTCGCTTTTGCTTTTTCAGCGGTATGCCGCTTTTCCTTTTTCTTTTTTAGCGGTATGCCGCTTTAATTTTTCAGCGGTATGCCGCTTTTGACTTTATATACATTATCTTTGAAAAGATCTTGGCTTACAAAGCCTTGTTTGAGATTTGTTCAAAAAACAATCTATCAGCAAGAACAACATGAAAAGACACATAAATGTTAAACATCAATATATATACATCTACCTTGATACGTGTATAACCAACATCTCCTATATTCTTATTTATGTTCATGGCAATTTCAAAAAAACATATACAACCTACATAGAGATAGCTGTTGGAAATTCTTATCACAAATGTAAATGCTTTACTATATACAAGCCCAATCCAGCTGCTCCCAGCAATGGAAATTCATCATGGTACATGAAAAGGAAGGCGTCCAATTTCCAGGATGACTTTGACAAGTGTGTGGGTATTGCAGGCGTCAGCGACAGCAATCTCAGAAAGATTTTGTCTCGGCTTCACAAGGAAAAGGAACCCAGCTCAAAGAGCAGAACTGTGACAAAGCGCTTTCCTGACCTACACAAATGTCTTCAAGCTCACGATGTTGATGGTGCCACAATATACATTGTGGATCTGCAGAAGTACCTCGACAGAGCATGCATGCAGCCAGCAATGCAATCACTGCTTCGCGAGGTTTCAAGAGATCCTGAGGGTTGTCCAGGTCTTTTATACCTGGACGAAGCAGTTCCAGGGAATGTGATCTCTCCAGATCAGCGTCGTAAATCCTGGTGCGTGTTCTTTGCATGGCTGGATATGGCCAAAAGACGGCATACACTCTTTTGGCTACCCTTGGCCGTGGTCAGGCATGATGTGGCTGCTGAAATTGAAGGTGGCGTGGCTCGCATGTTTTCGGTGATACTGCAGGCTACATTGCCTTTCTTTCGAGGATACATTTGGGGCGATACTTTGATTTACACAACTATGCTTTATTTTCTTGCAGACG